ATATACATATATATATATATTCATGTATGATTAGTTTAACTATTCCTCTTTAAGCCATTCCCACTGAAAGTCTCAACTTGGTCCACTAGAGTACGCCGTAAACTTTACCTCCTTTGTGTGCCTCAGTGTACACCAGAGCTTTCCGAATCCTAACAAAGTCACTGACAAGGAGGTGTTATGGAGATGAGAAGATGAAGGGGATGTGCTGAGTCATACATACCATAGTCCAATAAAGGAGAGCTCAGGCAGGGCACTGCCACTGCTTCACTGAAATCCCAAGCAGTAAAAAAATAAAAAAAAGTTCTAAAGCCCCTCACCCCCACGTAAATGCACAAACAAATGCAAACACATGTCGGTCGCACGTGCGTGCACAAACGATTGAACCTTACATCCCCAAGCAGATAACCTAGTATAATTATCTTGTATTTTGTCCTATAAATTTTGATTTGATAAACATTAGTGCAAATATTGTGCAACATAAAACATAGCTAAACTAAAAAAAATTTATTCTACTAGGCCTCTGCCTTCAGAAAATATATAATTGTTTGGGGGTTTTATAGCAGGTATTGGTTTTCTAGCCAAAAGTTCTGATTTTAATATGTGTATGGAAAATTTAAAAATTGCACTGTACACAAAGTGGTTAAGGAGTATATCAGTGCCTTATTTGTATGTTTATTCATTTTAGAGCTACCCGGAGTCCAGCTTTATAGAATAAATCATGGGAAAATACCTACGCTGTTGTCACATAATACTCAATCCACCTGGATTTACTTCTGTAATACTAAATATAACTGTAGAAAAAGGGTATGTAAAAACTTTAGAGAAGATTATAGTACCAGATATCATAACATAGTTTGCCTCTCTCTAGTGCTCACAGTGGTGATACTCAGAAACACAGCAGTTCAGCGCCAGGAGTCTCCATCAAAGGGTCAAGCAGCAGCTCAAGTGAATCTGACACTAGCTCTGAATCAGACTCAGAAACCGAGAGCAGTTCCAGTGAGAGTGAAAGCAGCACGCCATCTGCTTGTACCAGCCCCGAGGTAAGGAATACTTTGGAGTTATGTCACCTAGTCATGCAAATCTCTGTGTATTTTTTTTTTTTGTCTAGGCCGGATATGTATCTGTGAGATAAAAGTGTGATAAATTGTTCCTTAAACATATGAAATGTGCTGGTTAGTGCTTATGTTTCTGAAGTTTAGCATTGCTACAGAGGAGCCACAGGGCTTACTCCCAAATGAGAGATCAGGGAATTGCAGTCAGCTTTAAGTAGTTGCGTGTTCAAAGAAGATTTCTACGAAGCCCAGTACAAGCTCAGGTTTTCTTTACGGTTAAGAGCTGAGCTGCTCAAAAAGTAAGTGTAGCTCATCTCTAATAAAGTTGGTTAATACTTAGAACTCATTTTGAGATAAAGACCAAGATAACCTCATTACATATGGCATATGTGAAAGATGACATCTAACAGTATACACAAATACAATGCCTGTCCAAAAGAAAACTCACCACCTGGATATCGGGCAGTTTTATGATCTGGGGCTGCTTTAGTTGGACAGGTCTAGGTTCAGCAATGTTATGTGACAAAAAAATTAGGTCAGCTGCCTACCTGAGAATACCAGATGACCAGGTTTTTCCATTGATGGATTTTTTTCTTCCCTGATGGCATGAGCATATTCCAAGTTAACAATGCCAGGATTCAGTGGGCTCAAATTGTGAAAGAGTGGTTCAGGGAGCATGAGACATCATTTTCACATGTGGATTGGTACAGTACAGACCTTAACCCCATTGAAAATCTTTCGGATGTGCTGGAGAAGACTTTATGCAGTGATTCGACATCACTACGAGATCTTGGTGAAAAATGAATGCAACTCTGGACAGAAATACATGTTGTGACATTGCATAAGCTTATAGAAACAATGCCTGCTGTAATCAAAGCTAAAGGAGGTCCAGGGAAATATTAGTGTGACTTTTATTTTTGGACAGGCACTGTATTTATCTTAACCTGCAGTAAAAATGAGCTTGGGCTTTTAAATGCTGTACCTCTGCACTAACACAGAAGACAAAGGTGTAGCAAAGAAAATTTTCCAACTTGGCTCATATATGTGCTCTATTAAAATGTTCATAAAAACTAGCTGTTTGAGTTGAATCCTAATTTTATTGACAGAGGACACATACTGTTACCAAATAGATAACTAAAATGTATTTACTACCTAAATAAAGGTAATAACGAGTTTATTTTTTTATGTATTTTTGGACCCTAGTAAATGCACCATATTGCAAAACACATCTAACATACAAACTCAAAAGAAAGGGGGTGTGCATGTATATTTCAGTTGTTCCAAACCGATCTATTTTTCAAAGTCCTTACTGTCTACAATCATGGAATATACAATAACTCTATGACTGAACTCTGCCCTAATCACCCCCCACCCCTTTTCCACAATGCAATCTCAGAGTCTTTCTTTTGGCTTCACTTGTGTGCCTGCAATGTATTGAGGGATGCTAGGAAGTAGGTCAAAGCTCTGGTTTAAAAGGAATTAAAAGTACTTGCAGGCACTGATCTTGTTGTCTATGTTTTTTTATCATATTTGATAGAAAATATTTTTTTGTATTTATTAGATATAGGCATTGACTTTAAATTTTTTATTTGCAGCCCGAACAGGCAACTTCAAATAAATGGCAGCTGGATAAATGGTTAAATAAAGTAAATCCTAACAAAAACACTATTCTTAACCATGGAAAGGGCCTGAATCCCAGCGGAGTTCATGAAAATGAGCCAAGCTGCACAGAAGCATCTAAAATATGTCATCCAAGTCCAAATCTCAAGGATGACCGGAGCCCTATCAAAGAGGATCAAAGCCTGGGAGTAGTTTGTGCTGTGCATGGGAGCAGAAGTGTGAAGCTGCAGTCATCTCATGGCGCACGTGCTGCTACAATTGTTGTTGCCGTTCCTGCTGAAAGCACTTCTTGTAGGAGACCTATATGCAGAAAACTAACAAGAAGGGCAGAGAGGACATCTAGTGATGATAATCTGAACTGCCACAAGCCAGATGAGACTTCTGTAAACCAAGGAATTCCAGAGAATGAAATACCTGAGCAGGCCAAAAATAGGTTAACTTGCAGTAGCAAGAGATTGCATAGAAAAGAACCAAGACCAGGTCTTCTTGGCTGTGAACTCAGGCGGACTCAAATTACTAGATCTGCCCCAAAATTAAAGCAGGTCACTGAGTTTTTGGTGCAACCTTCAGAACCTGGCACAGAAACAGAAGTAGACACATCACAGCTCTCTAAAACTTTCTCAGCGTCCCCATCAGAAAACAACCACAGGATCAAAGAGTGTGGGAAAAGTAATAGCGTCTATGGTAGTACATGCAGTTCACACAGCTGTGTTAATGAAAGGACTAGAAATAACATTGCACCAGAAACAGAAGAACAGTTTTATACACTAGTTCCCTTTGGAAGAAATGACAATGTGTGCTCCTTAAAGGGAAATGAGCAGATCAAATCACTGTGGGTCAGGATTGATTTAAAACTTTTGACCAGATTTCCACAAAATATGCCCCAGGAAAATCACAATTTAAATTCCAGTATGGACAAGACACTCGTAGCATCTCGGAATGGAGAATTACCTCCAGCAATAGATCACTCTGCTTTGAAAATGCGTCGAAAGCGTAAGGTAGGAATACATGGTGCTGCAAATTGTTGAAAAATTGCTTTCTTGTTATATCTTATTTATTATAATAACATTATATTTTATATAATGATGATTCTGCAGTTAAAGCTGAATTGCAGGCAGCTAAATACACTTGGAAACCAAATTCTATTTCTGTCCATCTGTTTACCAGACTGCAGAGCCAAGGTGGTGATCTGACTTTTCTCTACTGCAGTTCAGCAATGTTGCCTGATCACTTCCCTTTTCCCAGCCTTTAATAGGACAAAAAAATAACAGCAACAGCACAGTAATTAGCCGGCAAAAAAAAACAATTGGGCAGAGCTAGTGGTGAAATCACCAACTGTTTCCTATTGGCCGGCACCTGCCAGAGTCTTTTAGCAGGTCCTGGCCAATAAATAACAACTGGACGGAGCTGGCTGTGACAGATGACGGCTGGTTTAATGACAGATCAGAGTCCCCAGTTCATTTGGGGGACGCTGATATGTCATTACAACTGGGCGGAGCGAGCTGTGAGATCACGGCTGGCTCAACCCAGCTGTCATTTGCGTGGAAAAAGGTTGAGCCTTCGGCCGACCTTTCTCCACGCTTCGGCTGTCACTCTGGCTCAGTCCAGCCGAAGCATATGCCTTTGGCTCAGCTGCCTTCAGCTGCTGTACGGGCTATTGTGACTAGCCCGTACAGCAGCCCTTCGGTTAGACTGAACCGAAGAGCTGAAGGATCACCCGAAGCGAGCTGAAGGATTACCCGAAGCTATGGCTGGATCCTTCGGCTCTATAGTGAATAACCCTCTAAGTGATTGGCACCCAGTGTTGCCCCCCTGTCCCAGTCTAAGTGCTTCTATACAAGGATTACAAGGGGCTGTTACTAAAGTCAAATTCAGGTCACTTCAAGTCATTTGATAATTTTAATCAACACATAACTGTCTTCACTGTTTTTTTTTATATCTGCTTGGAGTTCAGCCTTAAATGTCAAACAGGTATCCACTTTCTAGAAATACAACACGTTAAAATTTTAATTGCAAATAACAGCTGTTTTAGGATGCGTATTCTTTGGTTAGACTAAAGGGACTTTTATCTGTAAAAAAAAAAAAAGGGAAAACAAATCATAAATCTTTGTTAATCCAGAGGAAGATGCTTGTTGCTTTATCTCCTGTGACTGACATCAGCTGTTAAGGGCTTAAACATTTTCTCCTCCCCTAAAACTAAACCAAGAGAAAAGGTTCAACTGCCATGATGCAACCGAAGCTTCTGCTGTTCTGTTCTGAACTTCATGAACTATTATTCAGCATAGACTCTTACAAGAGGAATGGCAAGTACTTCTTTGAGTCTGTCCATTTTTTTTTGGGGGGGGGGGTCATCTTTTTTTACCCTTTTGTCTGAGTATAGTTCTGTTTTTGAGTATAGATCTGTGTTTGTCCAATAATGTTTAAATTAGACATGTAAGCTGCGGTTCGCATATTTCGTTATTTCGGGATTCGGATCCAAAATTAATTTCGGTTCGGGTTTCAGATTCGGATGAAATCTGAACTTCATTAGTTTCGGATGAGTTTACGAATATTCGCTGCGAGTTAAACAGAAATCCATATACGGGATCCGAATGTTCAAATTGCATTAGTGAGTTCCCGAATGCTATTGAGGTCTGGGAGCCTCAGCTTTAGTAATATATGTATATGGCTCCAAGTCCCGAATGGCATTCGGGTTCCAAATTTCTGAAATGCATTTGTTCAGACCCATTCGGATGCATTAAATCAGAAAAGTCCAAAAAAGTCACATGTCTGAATCAGTTTAGTTTTTGAACGAAATTCGGATGGGATCTGAAATTCGGAAACCGAAATTTGGATTTGGACACTTTCAGATGCATTGGTATTTTTTGAATCGGAATGAAACAAATCGCACATGTCTAGTTTGAATTCACTTACAGTTTTCTGACTTACTACCGCTGCTGGAAGTCTGTTCCTAACATCTACTTCTCTTTTGGTAAAAAAAATTAATACTTTATACGGTTTGGAACCTTCATCCTGCTACTTGGAGGTCATGTGTCACGCTCGCCTATTTAGAGGAGGTCTGTTTAGCGGATCACAACTGCGGAAGTGGAGTTGTAGGGGTTTAGGACGGGAATCAGGACGCAACTCTTTCTCACTTTACCCAGTTTTGGTTGGGCCCGTGAGGGAGTTGCAACACATCATACCCCGTCCCCTGGATTGTATAATTGGGAGAAGTCTCCCTATGCCTGCTACACCTCTGGTCGCACACCAGAGGGTGGTTTTAGCTGTGAGTAGCCGGGTTAGACCAATGAGGGCAAACAGAGACAAAACACTGCGGTATTGTGAAAGAGTAGCAATACAGTTCTGGTGAGAATGGGTTGACAAGGGATCTTCTATTTAGCTTCAGCAGATACAAGCATCTAGCAAACACTGGTACACTCTATGTTGTAATGTTCTCTATTGGGAACATGCAGTCCAGAATACTTGCGGTTTCTAGGTGGCTCGGATGTTCCCAGAGGAGCAGGTTGCTGGTTCCTATGTGAGTCTCCAGGAGGGGATCCAATGGCCAGGTTCTTTGGAAGGCGAGTGGGGAAGCTGCACGGATCAGCGTCCTGTACACTCGACAGAAGACGCTGATCTACTGACAAGTTGCGGCTTTTAAGCCGAGTGCTGGACCTGGAGGGGGCGGAGCTTCGCGGCGCGCCTGCGCCCGACGAGGATGCGTCTCTGGGGAGAGAGGGAGGAAGCCGCCTACGCGCCTGCGCAGATTGCTGCTGGTTGGCGGCGGCGGACATCACCCTCCGCTGCCTGAGTCTCGGCCGCACGGACCCGCGGCGTGCCTGCGCCTGGAGTGCCCGACCCGCGGTACCGGCTCCCACCGAGCTGCGTCCATTACA